GAGGAGTGCCAGATTCTCCAGGCTGAGGCTGCCAGTATGGGTGAAAACGTGAAACCACAGTGGGGTTATCAAGATTGTGTCATCAAATCTCTGCTGAGGTATGTATGGTTCTTGTTTTATTTTTATTTATTTTTAATTTTTTTTTCAGTATCTGCTTTTATCTGCTTTCATGTACCTTGGCTAACTTATAAATATCTAGATGGTTCAAACGGTCTTTCTTCCAATTCGTCAATAACCCTCCCTGCTCCGCCTGTTACAGCCCGACCATCGCCCATGGAATGACCCCGCCTACCCCAGACGAAACTGCCCGTGGCGCAACCCGAGTCGAATTGTACCGATGTTCGGATGCAACATGCGGCGCAAACGAGCGGTTTCCCCGCTATTCGGACGTCTGGGCCCTGCTCCAGACACGACGAGGACGGGTGGGTGAATGGGCAAATTGCTTTTCAATGTTGTGTCGCGCTGTAGGTGGCCGCGTTAGATGGGTGTGGAATTCTGAGGATTATGTCTGGACGGAAGTGTACTCTGAACATCAGAAGCGATGGGTCCATGTTGATGCTTGTGAGGAGGCCTGGGATAATCCCCGGCTTTACGCTGAAGGTACGTTTTATTTATGAATATCTATGTATACCCATTGGTCAAGTTTTCCCAGCAGAGGGGATTCTAATTTAGATTCATTAGGGTGGAACCGCAAAATGGCATACTGCGTCGCATTCTCCATCGACGGCGCAACAGACGTCACACGACGGTATGTTCGCAACCCAGCAAAACATGGCATGTCCCGCACCCGCGCCCCAGAGGAGGTCCTGCTCTGGGTCATTCTTGAAATCCGCCGGATGCGCCGCGAGAACCTTTCCAAAGAGGAGCGTCGACGACTGATAAAAGAGGACGAACGGGAAGAAAGAGAGCTGCGCGGTTATATGGCCCAGGCTATCGCAACGGAAATTAATAACCTCTTTCCTAATGGGCGAATCAGTAATAATGGAAACGGCACCAACGGCAACGATGCATCCGCTGATGAATCGAAGGTGCCCGTTACAACACCGAATGGCAATGTGGAATGGGTGAATCCCACTCAGGGGCAGACGGGGCAACCAAACCCAGATCGATCAAACCAGGGGCGATAACCTTTTGGAGTCGTGGGGTGATGATGCCTATGTTACGCTTTATTTTGCTCAATTTTCCTACCCACGATCGGAACGATGAAAAGTTATTACAACGCCACGACAAAGGCGTCCTTTTTTTCTAACGAATGAATCCTCGTTTATGGTTGCTTTCCTTATGGAATCCAAAACCTCTTCCAATGTCGACCCCGAACCCTCACACATCCAAAAAAATAAAAATAAAAAATAAAAAAAAATGAAAGATAGTCACATCCCACCGTATCCATCCCGACGCCATATACATGCCTTTTTTTTTTCCTTTATGAATTTTCTAACAATAGGCGACTGGAGTGAGTCCATTCGTGTCTGGCCATAAAGTTTCTCGGCGTCGGATACACTAAACATTCATCTAACTTCTCCCCATCTCCCTAGCCTACCTTCTCCTTGCTCTATCTCAAACCGCCATTTGTTCTCGGTTCGCTGGATGCCCTCTCCTACTATCACACTTCGCTACACTACACTACTACACATCATATTTCATTTCCTTTGTGTCTTATCCACTGTCCATCCGATTTCTGGGGGTCTAGGTTGGGGTTCGGGTTTTGGTCCCAGTTTTATAGTTTTCATCAATGTCTCAATCATGGGTTTGAAGGCGTTCCTTTCTTCCTGACGTCTTTCTTTGCTTGGATTTTCTTTTGTTTTGCTCTTTTTTTACTCTTTTACCCTTGATTTTCTCAGCTTCTCTCCTTTTCTTTCTTTCTTCCTACTTTTGAAGCTAGCATTAGCCCTTTACTTTTTTGTTTCTCTTTCAATTCATTTCAACTTTCTTCTTTTGCTATTCCTTCTTCCTCCACACTCCTCTTTCCCTTTTCATTTCTCTTTATATTTTGACACCGATCAATATTTTTTTATATTATTTTTTATATTATTTTTTCTCTTTTATGCCGTATTAATGAAATGTTAACTATACCATATATCATACCACATCAAAACATTTAACTATTGATATCAGGTGAAAACATCTAAAGCTTGTACATATTCTATTATTATTCAGCAACAAGTATTTACTAAATGCAACTGTATACAACTTGATGTGTATCTGCTTATTTTATATTCACACTCATCAGTGCAAAGTTATTTGCGCTATATTCTCTCTCAAGTAGAGAGCATCATTATTATCTCTCTCATTCAGCGGTTATGAATCTCGGACGGTCCAGGAAGACTCCATTAGAATTTGAGAATATTTGTTTGATTCATGCTATTACTGATATTTAATACTTTCCACAATGCAATAAAATAAATTATTGTACACAGAATATAACTAAACTTCAGTTGAGAGAGATGTAAAAGTCTCCCTCCTGGCTGTCACTCACCCCTACCCTACCACTAATCGAAAATAATTGTCATCCAGCATATGCCAACTCACCCCGGAAATGTACCGCTGGATACGACTTCTTGGGCAACCATGTCCCTTACAAGCCTACACGCATTGCAGTCAGTATCCAGTCCAGTTTGTCCATCTATAGAATCTACACTCACTTGGCGTCGTCTACACAAAAAGAACTCATCATAGTTACTTTCCCTATCGATCCATCTCTATATATCAAATCAAATCGAACCACCAAACCACCAAACCATGTCCGTCCTAAGCGTCCACGCCTCCGCCTCCCACTCCTTCTCCAAACCCAGCGTCCCAAGCATAACCCTCCTCCCCAACCTGGGCGTGCAAGGTGACGCCCACGCCGGCGCCACCGTCCAGCACCGCTCGCGCCTACACATTAGACCCCCGCCGCCAAATCTCCGCCAGGTGCACCTGCTCCACGCAGAGATCCTGGCGCCGGTAGGCGGTGCGGGGAGTAGGACGCTGGTGCTGGTGCTAATGGTCCGCTCCTACCGGGCGATATGGGGGAGAATATTACGACTAAGGGTATTGATCTGTTGGCGCTAGGGAGGGGGACGAAGTTGCGGTTCGTCGGCGATGTCAACGTCCATGTCGATGGTAACGAATGCGGCGGCCGCGGCGACGGTGACGGTGACGGTGACGGTGACGGTGACGGTGACGGGGCTGCGGAACCCGTGTGCGCAAATCGACCGGTTCCGGAAAGGGCTGAAGGAGAAATTTGTCGTGCGGGATGCGGAGGGGAATATTGTCGGGCGCAAGGCTGGGGTTTTGGGGGTTGTCGAGCGGGGCGGGGGGGTTCGGCCCGGAATGCGGATTTTGATTGAGAAGCCACCTGTCCATGAGGCGTTGGAGTGTGTCTAGCTTAGTGTCGAGTTGGCTGGCTGGGGTGTCGGGGAGGGGTTGCGTTGCAGTTGCATTTGCATTTGCATTTTCTTGTGCTGGGAGTGTTTTTGTTTTCGGGACGAATCGTGTCTCTATTCTTAAGGCTTTTGAGACTTTTGTTTCAGGGAGCCGGTTCTGTCCTTTTCTTTTCTTTTTCTTTGGCTTGCTCGTAGAATATTTGCCGTCCTCTTTCTACATATAGCGTGACGCGGTGATGTATCTTCAAAGAATTCTACAAGCCAGCGAATGATGCAGCTCCTCACATAAGGAAAAAAGCACCTAGTGTGACTTGGAAATAGATAGCCAGCAAAACGAAAAAGGATATCTTGAAAAATGCCTCGAATTGCCGTGAAAAATCTGTAGAATTTCCAAACGCCTGTTTGGGCTGCGCCAATTATACAGTAGTAGAGAGCTCTTGTTAGCCTGCCCAGCTGCTGGATCTTCGTGATGATGATGATGATGATTTGATTTCGCATTCGTCTTTCGCCAGACGATCGTTGTCGCAATACCCTGGTAATCTTTTCGATATAGGCCCGAGTGCTATCATGCTGAATACATGATGCTGTTGGATTGAAAGAAAAAAGAGGGGTCGGTCGTTAGCTAGCTGGTTCAATGGTAGAAGTAATTGATTTACCCACGACAGCGCAGTGCAGTTGCAGATTACAAGTTCACATCTATAGTTGAAAAGTGGTATGGTAGACCACCACCTGCAAAAGGAGGAATGGAGGAGAAAAAAAGAAGAAGAAAAAGAAAAAAGAAAAAAGAAAAAAAACTTACGTGCATAACGTATATCCCTATTATAGTCGTTCCTGGGGTTGTTTCAATTTTTCCCATCCTTTTGCGGACCTGTGGCCCTGGTGGGAACTTCAATTGGGGAATTGCATTTGGCTGGAAGGTGAATTGTCTGTTGTGATTTGTTATGACCTGTTGAACTTTGTTAGCTTTGATGTTCGAGAAAATGGAGAACAATGGACGAGAGAAAGAAAAATTTTGCGAAGCATAAGTAATGTGAGGCTTACCTTTATTGAAGTGATATTCTTCCCAAAGTCCCCGTTTGCTTGTATACCAGTAAGAAGTTCTCCAGCCGGCCCATCGATAGTGAAAGATATCTTCAACGAGTCATCTGCACCCTTGGGGTTACGACCTGCCCGTAGCCGCTCGACCGGCGCACCCTCTGCCCCATACTCAAAATCTATCCCCACAATCTCCTGTCTTGAAACCGTAACGGATATCCGTGTCAGGTATTTTAGATATGAGCCCTCAGGACCACCGAACATTACGTGGATGAGTGGATGGTACTCGGACTGCGGCACTTCTTTGCCTGGAAAAGTAGATTCATGCAGGTAAACATCTTCTGGTGGGACGTTAGGGTACCAGATCGCATTTGTCCGCAGGGGGACTTGTGGTGGCCGTTCATGCGAGCCGACTTCTGTGTCTGGCACGAAGAGCTCGACGAGTTTAAACCCCTAGAACGATCATAAGTTACTACAACAGAAGAGAAATAATAGTCCCAAAGAAAGGGGTTCAGGAGGGGGGGGGGGGGGGGCGGCGATTACATCAAATGCACACTTCAGATGGGATATACGGTCGTTGGTACAAAGTCGCAGCGTCACCGGCGTAGCGTCCGGACACCCAGCCCAGTTCGATAACCTTCCTTCAAGAGTGGTAGCTTGCAGCGCACGTATCCCATCGGGACTAATAGAAGTTATAAATCCTGATAGCGTTGCTGAAGCACCCTCTTCGTTTTCTAGGTCCAGGACAATTTCGCTCGCCGGGATGATGTAGCCCATATCCACACCTGGCTCCTTGCGGGAACATAGTCGAATTCCTGAGACATGCTGCTTACCATTGAGTGTTATGAATGACACTGCGATCTGAGATATTTCGCGTGGTAAACGAGCAGCCTGTACGTAAAGCATATCATATGACATATGGTTATAGCGTGCCCCGGCAACTTTCCACACGATATTATTGTATTGGTCTGCTTTCTCCAAACGCATTTTATCTAACGGCTGAATTTTTAACAATCTTGCAAGTGATCTATTGCAGTTCCAAATTCTTACCCGATTCGCCAAAGCTCCCCCTTCGAGCAAGATCTGGCCTGTTTTCTCATATAACGTTCGCCAGTCACGGCATCTAGCGTTCACGGCAGATTCACTGTCCGGTCTTGTAGCCTCGAAGATAAAATCTCTGTCCATGCCCGGCAGAAACCGGGAAAACCAAAAGTACTGCGAGAGTGGTAGGCAGGCGAAGGACCTTGAAGCTAGCCTGAGGCTAGCAACATCTTTGACGAGCAGCTGCGTCAGAATCTGCTCACGTAGTTCCACTGGCAACTCCGAGAAACAATCCGCATGCCGTTGCGGTCTACAAGATATCCTCAGATCATCATTGTTGAATTCCTGGGCAGGGCTCTCTTTAGTTTCAGCCAAGATCTGTCGTAACTCTGGGATATCCCAAGGATCCTGTTTGCAGTAGTAGTACGGAGACAGCTTCGGTCTAGTCACAGAGCCCGTGATCATGCCAGCGAGGCGAGCCTCCTCCCACGGGTAATAGATCGGATATGTCTTCACTAGGCCGCCATAGGTATGACCCCATTGCACCCAATGTAGAGACCGTAAGGGGAGTGACCGAAAGATGTCGTAGAGGCGGTGAACCGGGAGGGTCCGGGTAGTTAAGAGCATTAAGCAGGTTCCAACATTGGTCATGAAATACGTATCCAATATCGGGACGGTAAGTTGGGGAATGGAAAGGTGTGAACGCATCCAGGGGAGAGAACATGTATTCTCTATCATTATAGCGTTGATCTCGATCTGAAGGAGCTGAGAACGGAATGGTGTAGGCGATCTCTCCACCAACGCCAGTCAAAAATGGCGTCCTTTCTTCGCCGCCGCCGCCGGGAATGCGAACTAAGTTTGAGTATTAGCATTGATGGTTACTCTAGGGGCACATTTACTGTCCAGAGATCCTGCGTATTGATTGGTGATACTGATAGAAATTTCTTGCAGGGATACAGATATGTACTTACCGGCACGAAACTCAGTCTGCCATTGTGCTGTCGGGGATCGGTAATGAATAAAACCTCCACATAGAAGGCAGTACGGACCTTCCGGCATAATTTAAGATATTCCTAATGTACTGTACAAACTCCTTCGCGATCCTGCTACAATATAACAAGACGGAAAATGACGAGTTTCCAGGCCGGGATATTATGCGAGAGCGCAAAGGACAGAGGGGCATGAGAAAATGAAGCGCGTGAACATCAGCAACCCTAAGTAATGGGATATCTATCCATTCATTCGGTTATTTTCTTCCTCTGAAGTCAAGGGAACGGGTGCGGTTTTTATTAGTTTCCCTTCTGCGTATCGATAGCCAAGGCGAGAGAGGCAGAAGGATTCTGGGGTTGGAAACACGCCTCTCAAACCCAAAAACAAAGCCGGACGCTATTTAGCCGCCGATGAATATGCGCGTCTGCAAGCTCAGGGCTGATACCGGGTTGAGTTAATAATACACGGCTGAAAAGGTTCTGAGGACTCTGTATAAATGCATAACTATGTCTTCATAATTGATGTGGTCCACTTTCGTTTGCATTGACCCTTTATTGATCTAATACCTGAACAACCAGTTTCAGTGCCTGGAGTCGAAGTTGAGGTTGAGGTTGAGGCTGAGGCTGAGGCTATTGTGGCGGACTTAACATATGATACAGTTATGATAGACCAGGGCTTGGCGACTGGTGACGAAGTTAAGTTATATAATAATGGTCAAGGATTCTTATTCACGAGCAACAAGGACTCATTTTGGGTTCATTCTCTTAGTCGCTGCAAAATATAATGTCGCTACCTTGTTTCCATCCACTCAGAATAGGTATTTGAGACAGCGGGGTTCCAATTTATTCTGTACCAAACCACACATCACATCACCTAAAAACTCCTGAGCACTTGCTTGGTCTATCCCGCGGATCCAACTTCATAATCTTAAGAATAAAATCCCTATTTTCACTTGATACTTCCTTCTCTGATATTCTCTTGAAACGTTTCTGCTTTTCTGGCAGTCCTGGCTGGTGAATACACAACAGGATGCCAAATGTTGGAGGGCAGATCAAGTCCGGGAGCTGCAGGGGGACGGATTCATAGAATAATAGCATAAACCGGTTGGGAAGTTACTCCATGGGCTGATTTTCTGTGGAGGAAACGGAGACCTTCAAGAGTAGTCATTAGACGTAGATTTAGCATTTATTTATTTAAATTTTTTTGAGTTATGCAGAAACGCAACAAAAGAAGACGCTCCACCGCTTGGATATATAAGATAGCGTACATTGAGCGTCGCGTCTAGACAGTTACCTGAACCAAAAATGAAAATCACATATCAACACCTGGCCCATGCTAACACATGTACTACCGTACATACATATAAATGAATCCCCATACAACTTTTCTTCTCCGTTCCTCCCACTCATCGAGTATCTCCCCCTACTCGTAGTCCCGCACATACCGCCCAGGCAACTCTATTTCCCACATTGGCCGCTCCACCACCGCAACTTCTAGGTTGAAACCGCCCCCTCTCAACTCCTGGTCTGTATCCGATACACTACCCAGTTGGTCGAGTGGTACTATTCCTAGAACATCTCGATACTTATGTGTATGCCACCAACGACGTTGCTGTGGTGTGCTTTTCGGTGTCTCTTTCGCTTGCAATGGAAGCTCTGGTACAGCATCTTGGTTAGCCGGGTTCTGGGTAGCAACGGTCGCCTGCTCTTCTCGCTCAGGCTTTTCGGGTATAGCCGCTTGTGGTTTCTGGCTTTGTTCTTGCTTCCCCTTCGCCAGCGTCTTGTTGTGCCCATTGGCATGTGGTCTGTTGTCGATCACGACGGCAAAGGCTACTTGCAATTTCCTGCTGGAGGTGATGGATGAAGAGGGAAAGGAGGTACTCATACCATTGGGTTGATATTGACCGTGATGGCTTGTCTCCTTATCCCTGCCGTCGTCTTCATCCTTCCCCTCCTCCTTTGTCTCTGGTTCGGAGAGACTTCGGTCTCGTCGAAGGCGTGCTAGTACGGAGTCATTTGCTGCTGATGACTCATTGTATTGTTCATATTCGTCTTCTTCAACCACATCATCTCGGCTCCTTTCCCGCTTGAGGTCTATCCATTGCGCATTTGCTTCGTCGCTGCCCACAATTTTGCGCATTTTCCTTCCTAAGCCTACATCAGATTTCGAAACTGCTATTCTATCACCAGCGCCAGTGTTGGTCTTCGGCATCTTCCCCTCCTCGTCATATCTCTTGCGTTTGTTCATCCCCTGCTTTGCTGTGTCAGGGACATCCTTGCTTTCAACCACATCATCTGGTGAAGGGAAATCTTGCGATAGATCGAACATCCACATCCATGTAGGGCCGTATAACCAAAGGCGTTCCCGGCTCTGGCTTACATCCCAAATAGCGCCCATCGCTCGATCCTTAAGTATAGTGAATTCATTGGGTAGGTACGCTTTGGGGTTTCTCCGGGACCAATCAGACAGTTTCCCTTTCATCACTTCAAATTCAGATAATTGGTGCTCAGCAGTCAATACCATTAGGCGACCAGTACCAGGCGAAGTCGGACGAGAGACGTGAGAATCGGTGGTGCCGTTGGTAAGAGTCTTTACGTGGGAGCGATTTGGCGGCCGGAATGATAGCAGTAGAATTCCAGCTTTCAGGCGAGGAATAGGTGATTCTGACGGTGTCGGTATCCAACGCTGGCCCTCAAGCACAACAGGAGCATCATCGTCATCTGAGGATTCATCATCCGACGAGGCAATTCCGTTCACCTTTACCCCTTTGCCGGTTTTCTCGAATTCTTGAACATCCTCCAAAATCCACGTGTCAATAAATCCTCCGAGGTCCCCACAGGCAAGCATCCTACTATCTTCGGAAAATACAACACAGCGAACGCTCCGTTCATACTGACCAAGCGTACCATAGATTTCTTTGTGTCGAATTTGTCTAGGAATACGATCCAAATCGATCAGCTCAGATAGCACGCGCGGATTCTCCTTGGGATCGGAGTCTGATACAATCCTAGCAAGACTAATATCGTTATTGGGGCGGACAAGACAAATCCATTGGCTATCAGGTGAGAAAGTAGCAGATTTGGCTCCGTGCCTAGCCACTGCAGGAGGAAGATCGATCTTTTGGACGCGCAGGGCTGGTTTGCTGTCTCCCTTTCGCCATTTTAGGCTGAAAATCTTCACTTCCGCCACAGTTGCTGCAATGAGAAGCTTCCCATCTGATGACAAGGCGGCAGATGTAAGGCTTTCATCGCCCTGGACCAACACTTTGCCTACGAGCTTATGGCTAGTCCCGTCTAGCAGCTGTTCACCAGGCCCCGAGCGCTTGGAAATATACCACAAACATACTTCGCGGTCCCACCAGCTCATAAGGAGACGGGATGAAGGTGATGAGGTGACTTGAGGAACTTGGGGAAGATTCGATAGTTTCCGATGATGCTCCGCTCCATATTCGCGCAACGGAAGGACGACGGGTATTGTGTCCAATCCTATAATTCAAAATGTTAGAGACGAATTGAAAAGTATATGTTTTAACACCTGAGCATTTTTTACCTCCGGATACCACGATGCTTATATCCTTAGTCTCATAAACAGCGAAAGCTTTGACATCATGCGTATGATATCGACGATGTGTCACTTCTTTCCATCTTCTTGATTTATCACTTTTCTTGCCGCTCTCTAGTTTGTAAATGGTCGTCCTTTGGTCCGCGCCGCCGCTGATGACAGATTCTCCATCAGCACTAACGGCAATATCCAACACATCTGCCTGGTGACCTTGTATGCGTTGGATTAGGGAATAATTCCTCACGTCCCAAAACCGTATTTCACCAGAAGAGTCGCCAGAGATGATAGTTCCGTCCGGCAAGCATTTCACGGACCATACCAAAAGGTCTTTAGAGCCCTTCACAGGACCCTTACCCATGGAAACTGTTCGCAAAATCTTCCCACTGCGGATATCGAATATTCGAATGGTGCTATCCGCATATCCAGCTACAGCAGTATTGCGATCCTGGAACGTAAGACTAAGGACTCGAGCCTTTTTGGTTGAAGGTCTCATAGTACGCAGATATCTCAGATCCCCGTTCTCTGTGGACAAAATAACTATCGACCCATCTGCACAACCCACCGCCAAGTGCTGCCCGGTATACTCCCCCTCAGCAGGCGGTAAGAATTTTCCATCCTTATCCTTCTTCGTCGGTTTCCACCGGGGTTGCGCAGCCAAACACCAGATCTCGCCAAAGCTACCGCTCGAATGTCTGGCAGGTCGGCCTTCCTCTAGGTTCCATTCTGTCACGACGCTCGAAGAACCAATGCTGAATAATCGCAGCTTCCCGGGGACTTTGAATCCACTGCTATCCACCTCATCTTCACTAGGGTCCTGAGTCCATGCAAGGCCTTCAATGGTGCGGTCCTTACCTCCCCGTAAAATCGATTCTTGTAGCCAAGCTCCGCGTAAGGGGTTCCATATTTCGACGTCGCCGTTGGCTCGTCCAATGGCAAGTCGAAGGGTAGGTACGCCTCTACCGGAGGCTTCTGCAGATGGCGGATGAGAGAATGCGAGGGCGTTAATTGCCTGCGGGTTGTATGCTACAAATCGACATCTGTGGATGTCCATGGCTGCTAAACGAGTGGGTTGTTGAGAACAGCGGGGAAAATGGACTTTTGAGAACGGAATTAGCATGGAAACGATTTTGATTGATCTTTGGGGCATAAATAAAAGTTGTTAACTATACCTCCCAAATCATCCACTACGGAGCCATTTCATCCTGTGTCTTTCGTGCTGTTTATGTGTTTATAAATCGGTGAAGCGGACTTTTGACGTCCCAAGCTCCCTAGAATATTTCCGTTTTTTTTTTTCTGCCGCAATTTTATTGGGCTGTCTTTGGGGAAACTTTTCCCGACCGCATTTATCACGTGGTAACTAGTTAATCGTCTAAACTTGCTCATTTGGATTTAATATCACATGACAAAATGCGTTAATGTTTACCTTCGCAACTTCAAGGAAAAGTACCGGATGATCTCCTGAAATTCTCAAGTTTAAGCAATTCCGAATGGCCCTATTGCCAACTCTCAAGATGGAGTTCAGGTCGTTTTACCCGAATTATCCGCATCAGCAAAAATGATCTCTGCTTTCCTCGCCGGTGGGTAGCAGTGCAACCTTCTCCCGCACGAAGTTCTCTCGTGTTAACTGCATGGAAACGGAACGGTCAGACAGAATCACTTACCCCGCCCAAAAATAGACACCCTGGGTGTAAAGTATTGATAGAAGCAATCTCTTCTTTAATCGGTAGAGTAACGAAATCAGGGTCGTGTGCTACAATCGCGATTTGGCGATCAAGCTAATTGAGTTGGATCGTTGATCCGCAATGCGATTTTAAAAGGGAATATATGCGTTGCTCTAACTAGAGGGGGCAAAAAAAAAAAAAAAAAAAAAAAAAAAAAAAAAAAAAAAAAGTCACAACTGCATGATCGACCAATTGAATGTTGCGCTCATCACAGGGTTAAGTAATGAAATGAAATTATTTCATAGTTATGCCGATTTTCCACAACTTAAAAAGCCGGCATGAACACTGTCTCTCGGCGAATTGAAATTCTACAGAAATGTCGGTTCCCAGTTCAAATGGTGTTTCTATATGACGTTTATTCTTCTCCCGTGCGTGCTCAGCGATTGCAAGGTGGGGTCCTTCGTCGGCGGGCTTACTTACGCTGCGTTCGATTCACTACGATAAATACCGGCTTCAACAGCACAATCTACACGTATGCAATCTACCTAAACGAAGCCCATGAGTAATCTGACGGCACGGTCTAATCAAGCGCCGTCAATGCACCCCAAGTATCCGAGAGGCTGCGTACCGACCGGAACAACTGTCAACTCAACATTTGCGACCTCTTTACCAGCAAACAATTGGATGGGCAATTGATTGGGAATAGGAGAGCAATTAGATTCCCCCATTCCCTTTGTTCTCCCGGAAAACCTATGGCCTTTTCCAGGTTTGTTGCCTCTGTTGCTACAAGGCATAAGTGAAATCTTACTACCCCCGAGAATACGGTCAGACTACCTCTATTCACGAAAAAGGATGAGGAAAACGAATAATGCATACGATTATTCATTATTATTATTACTATTACTATATACACGGTTCTCCCGAGCAAGTTCACATTACATACATTCCTTGATACGGTTACTTCGGATGAAACAATCAGACCAATAATGCCATGCAATTACAATTAATATAGACAAGTAAGTAATACAGGCGCCTGGCCTGGACCGTCCGATCACCCTTTGTTCCATCTTAACCTATATACACGCACCACGTTCCATTAAATTCCTACCCAATAAAACTGGACAGGTAATTTAAAAGGCGAGGACAACGGCAGCGGCAGCGATGACACCGGCGATGCTCTGTCCGTTGATAGCGGCAGCGCCCTCCCACTCAGGAGGAGGAGTGGGGCCCGAGGTTGGGACACCACCGCTGGGGGTGGAGGCTGGGGGAGGAGTGGGATATCCGCCGGTTGGCTCGCCAGTGGGCTCACCAGTGGGTTCGGCGGTGGGTTCACCAGTGGGCTCTCCAGTGGGTTCGCCAGTTGGCTCACCAGTGGGCTCAGCAGTACCAGTGGGTTCGTCGGTTGGGGTGCTGCCACCGTCATCGGTGACATCCTTGTAGGCATCAATACCCTTCTGGATGGCGTTGGAAATACCGGCGGCGAGTTGCTTGGCAATTTCCTTGACACCGTCGGGGACCTTGGAGCTCACGGCCTCAGTGAGATCATTGGATGCGGCGAATTGATCATCAAGGTTCTGCTTGATTGTGAAAGCGAAGCCTGCGGCAACGAAATCCTCCTTCGCATCAATGACCTGGCTGATCGCACCCTCAACCTTCTTGGTGAGGGCCTGGACTGGGGTGGTGAGGCCGAGAGCTTCGGTTAGGGACAGAGGATCCTGAGCATTGGCGGTCTCGACGCCCTTGTTGATGGTAGCGACCAAGTCCTCACCAGCACTGATGATGTTGTCTTGATCTCCTCCATTGATGGCGGAGGAGAGGCTGTCGACCTTGCCATCGATCTCGGTGAAAATGGCCTTGAATGCGTCGAGGTCACGCTGGACGCGGATCGGTTCGGATACAACACCAAGGGCAAGGCCCAGGGTGAAGAGGGCGGTGGACACCTTCATTTTGTTTGAAAGAAGTGGAGTATAACGGCAGTAAAAGAATGTACGTAACGAGAGGACAAAATTTGCGAGTCTTTCTAGCAAATTTCAGAGGTACTTCTTCTTGGTGAATGATAGACAGAGCAGGAAGAGAAAAACAGGGGGAAATGCCGCTGGCTCGCTCTATATATGTACCCGCAAGGAAAGGCCTCTATTCCCGCTCGCCACTGCGGGTGCCCCATCCGTAATTAGATGCCACAAGCAGGATCAGATGGATCAATCATCGTATACCTCGGCGATATCACGGGTTCAACACCTGAAAGTTCCAGGATCACGAAAAAGCGCTTGGTGAGATTGCGGGTTGCCCCTTCAGGTAGACAAGGCCGGTGACTCCTGAACGGACGCTACTTTGGGGGTTCGTACGTGGTTGGTGGTAGTTTTTCTCAGTTTGGACTTGGGGACACAGGTTCTCCTCCAGAAATTAGGGCTAGCTCGGTCTGGCAGGTGCAATATACAGACGAAGTGGCATTCAACAAGTGACCCAGAATCCAGATTACAGGAAGAAGTGCCGTTACGCGAGGGTGCACATTCGCGATGGCCGCCGCAGCATGATTCGTTCCTCGAACCTCAAATCTATATGAATGTAAGCTTAATATTATTCTTCTTATTATTATCATCATCATCATCATCATCATCATCATCATCATTAGAATATTTATCATCGTTTTGCGTGAGCGTTCGGAGAGTTGATGAGGCAACTACCAGATACGATACGGGAGAATATCTGCTGGTTGTCCAAACTAACCCTAATTAATTATTCAGTGTTCGGTCTCTAGCTGTCTCAGATTCCCAACCGATACGATATCATCTCATTTCGGCCCACAGCCGTCATTTCGGCCCTCGCTTGTCAGCGTTATTATTCTCAACCGTCGAGAATAATACGGATCGCAGCCGATATTTTGCACGTGAGCCTCGGTGTTCCTGGCGATCCTGGAGTTAAACAGCCTTGAAGCACTGAGCAGTGAGGATGGAGCGAGTACAGTCCAGGGTTTCATGCCCGATGACAGACCGGATAATTGGACAAGAATGTGCCATTTCTCCACCACGCTCAGTCTCGCAAAAATATTCCTGTTTCTTTCCTCACCTTGACCCCCGTTATATCTATCTACCTCATCCATTGGTAATTATGATTTCTGAAAAATTTCGAAACCGCTCGGGATATCGTGCAAATTTCCAGGGGTTTGCCACCGATAGTAAAGAAGGACGTACTACTACTTTCTCCAAGGCTCATCAACACAATGGCCCAGCCTGCCAAAGATCAGCACGCCCCCGTCTTAGACTAAATGCGCGCCACCCAAGGATCCTGCTTCCCCGCAAGAAATTGGCCAGTTCATCACGATGATGACAGCGCTAATAATTGTCGTGGGCGCTGTGGCCATCCAGGGGTTTGAAGCATTGCCAACCATGGTGGTGCCCAGGCGGGCGCTCCCGCTGACAGGTATATGAGCATGCGCGATTTTGTAACGACCTCACGATACCCTCATAAATGATACAATACTGATGAGGAAACACATCCTCAATTGCCCGGCTCTCCGCCTTTTTCTTCGACGGCAATGAATCCTCTCTATTCATTTTGGGGCTCTAAAGATGGTAAAGCCACCTCCGGCAATGCTCGTGATATACAGTACACTGCACGTACAGTGCATTCCAACAAAACCTCCTTGAAAATTAGAAGTTCATAGAAGAACTACCCCGAGGAAATCGATGCACGATCCGTTTTAACGTTGATGGACTCCAACGGATGTCAGCGGTAGTCCTCGATATTGCAGCAAGCGCTGGTAATCTGGCGATTAAAAACGCCCATATTCGGACAATTCACCAAGAGAGTTCCCAGCTCTAGCGTCGCTCTTGCCACTGATAACGATACATGTTTCACGAACTACGCAGTAACGATTGTCGTTTCGCGCAACAACACGCATCCTGGCAACCTTGTCTTTATGCAGTAGAGACCAATTGATTGTTCTCCCTCTATTCACGGACGGTGAAGCTTTGCAGTTGAACTCTGTCCAATCTACTCCCAAATGTACCCTCATTCTGAAATCCTTCACCCTTTTTTCTTTTCTGTCAGCCAGTAAATTCTTCTACAATACCCCATTCCCTGTTCAAGTACACACACTCAACCAACCTTCTTTTGAGACATGAAATATACATTGCAAGAACATGGGAAACAGGTTACCTTGATTCGACAGAAATCGGTTCGAAACAGCGATATCAACCTTGCTAATATCCTACGTTGAAAATATCATCGCCCTAGTCGCCAGATTATCCACGGTGGCAGAAACAAATTTGTCCCAAAAACGTCGGCACGAAATGCTACGAGGTTAACGTTGAATAGGCAGCAGCTTGAATTAAGCAGATCTCAATGCATATATGTTTAATCAGTATCTAAGCCGATCCTCAAATTTGACCGACTGGGGGGTGACTTGTTAAAAGGAATTTACATTCTTCTGACGCGAGATTAAAAGGGGTATCGCCACAGAAGCCGACATGGACTCTAGAAACCCAATGTTGGGAGCTATTGCCTCTCCATGCCTGTCATATTTTCGATGGATAATGCGTGGAGGAATTTAGTCCTCCTTTTCAATTCATCAGTCCTCTTAGGGCTAGCGCTAGCAGGTTTACAAGTTGATGTTCATTCAAACGATACCATACCCGCGGGATTCTTTTCAACCGCGGGTAATCATCAGGCACTTTCATAAGGTCTATCCTTCTTAACATACCCTCCGTGGCTCTATCTTAGAATACGGTGGCTTAGAAAATCCGCCAAATTATGCCTTATTTACCGCAGCCATACGGATTCCCAACTCTGGCTCTGTAAAAAGAGGGGTGAAGGTTTCGATTCTGCCAAACAGATATGAGGTTCCGGCGCCCATCACCATCGCCATCACATTCACTGCCATCTCTACAAGGTGTCTAAAATGTGATATGCAGGTATGACTGGCCTGACATTGCCGTTATTGCTATTCGTGTGTTCATATTTGTGCCAGGCAAACACTTCTCTAGACACCCTCGGGGCCGTTAATACGTCACATTTCACCATGACTGGACGACGACTGAGCCCAGGTGCCCTCTGTCACTTCTCATTCTGTCTAGGAGTTTGGCTGGAATTCGCATCTGGTGGTATTCTACGCTGCTGGTCACCAGCTATCCGTTGAAAATGCTATTACATCGGATCGCTGAATGCCACCTCCATCGACCAAACAGCGTATACACAATAAATCGGAGAGAAAATTTTGAAGTCCACCAGAGTATGACAGCTAACTAATGGTATAGAAAGTGATCCCTCCGCCATTCTTGTCTCCTCTCTAAAATATCCTTTGACTCTCTTGCAAGCCAGGTATCTTACGGGTGTACGCAAAACGAGTTCTATGCCCTCGACTAGATCTTCAATTCGTTAGCACATATTCCAACCAGCCAGCCTGCAGCAACCCGGAAGGCCATCCCCCCCACCGCAATCATCGGAACCGAAGTTAAGTGGAAAGAAACCCGACTCACTATATTGGAAATAGTAAGCGGCATCACATTATCCCAAACAACACCGAAATGTCCCTCAGATATATCACTCGGTAAAATGCCGTATATGTCAACTAACGGATACTATCTTGATTCTTGCATCTACCAAACCCCACTATGTAGCCACCAGAGCAATGACCAGGATGTACATATGGGAGGGACGCTTTTTCTTCTCAAGGAACCTCTCCTTATCAGCCTTCCAGTCTGAAAATAGGGCCCAAGTGGTAGCTGAGACACATCCGACTTCATTTCGTTTCATATACCTCTACATGGACTATACAACAGGGCCGGCAAACGGATAGTTACGATACTTAGTCTCTAAATATCCACGGTATTCCTGATATGTCACTCGATGGCGATCTTTCCTTTGAATATAATCTAAATATCCTCTTGGGTGTACCCCTAGCTCGGGAAATCAAGGAGCATTTATCATCAGTCGCCCACAACCTGCCTTTGAGAGCTGTTGATACATGCACTTTGCCTCCCATCTGTGTCACAAATTCCCTCTTCGTGGGTATGAATATATCTATTCAATTCATTTTTCCCTTGATATGAGATACTAATCACACATTCAATCGAGTTGATCTCGTTGATGAAAGGCTAATTAGTTGGCAGATTGGGAGGGCTTGCCAGCGAGCTTGCTAAGTTTACACGTACGTGAAAGGCCTCGAAAATGGTCTCAAACGTAGCAGTGGCAGATGCAAAGCCAAATGAGTGCCATATGTCACTTCCTTCCCTTTGTCCCCGGGGAGCTAGTGGGGTAGAGCAGAATCCAAAATATACCTTCTGCCCAGCAACAGATGTGAGGAGGCGTACACCGCAAAGCATTATATCCGCGGTTCCTAGTTGGATAGCAGCTGCTATCCGTCCTGTGTTTCGCTTCATCTATATTCTTGTGGTGATTTTAGGGGTGGTTTGGAGCCATAAGCTTTAGAAGACCTCACCTATGTAGTATCCTCTGAATGTTGGTGCGGATGATGCGCAACCAACCCACCACTCTTAGAGAACCAACAAGTTTTATTCCTTCTGAAACATCCTACGATATTGCCTTATCAAAATCTATCCCGTAGTCATCCTTGTGCAAAATATCGCCCGCAAAATGTGTATGAAGAGCTATCCGATCCACCGACGCTATCCATGATTCAAAATTATCCTTCATTGAAATCAATTTATTCACAGATTTAGAAATTTATTCTGTTTCTATCTTTGAAAATGAAATACTGTAGATAGATACTGAGTTTTCTAAGATCTCTTTCACAGAGAATACTTGAGAGTTGATTATTATAGCTATAACAGATAATTGCTGACTGGACAGATCTTGAAATATAAAATTCTAAATGTTTACAGCTTGATATAAATGTACTAGTAACTAGAAATATTTATAAATGACAAAGATAGAGATTAATATAATAATAATATTCAAGCTGAGTGGAAAAAGATGATTGCGACTTCTGTCTATAACTTATAGATTGTGTGATTAAAGAGATCAGCAAGAAGTGAGATTTCATACAATTGTTTAAATGACTATTTAATTCTGAAATGAAATTTATATTATATAAATACTGTGTATATATATATTATTAATCTTGTAAGTAGAAGAATTCTGATTTTATTAGACAGATATCAAAGTCACTGATTGTATACATCTATAAATGGAAGAATAATAATAATAGATAGTTTGAGAAGATGGACAGAGTAGATCGTCTTATATATCTGCGAGACTGTAAAACTGGTATAAAAAAAATAAAAATAAAAATAAAAAAAGATATAATATATATGAGTTTGGTGAATAATGAATAAAGATATAAGACATATATTTGAATAATAATAGAATAATATTTGAAAGATCATTGAGAAAGGTGGATATTTTGACAGTGTTTTGCTAGTTATTCCAAGGGGGAGTTGGAAAATTCTGTTCAATCTCAACAGCTTTGAATTGGTTTCAACACCAACAGCCAGGCAAATATGCCCGATCAGCATTGACCAAGGATTTTAGTCATACATTTAACCACTCTTCTTATGGAGTTTGGGGGTCGGGGTGCCATTTGCCGAACTCTCACGGGCATGTCATGACCTGTTAATTGAAATGTGTCTGTTTGCAAAGCAGCCCAAGCTGAAAAATACGGTTTCTCAGTGAGCCTACAAAGAAAGCAAAGCGGAGCGGCTAGGAGAAAAGAAAATGCCTTCACACTGGGACGTGAAAACTCATATAATCCCGGTTGCATATCCTCGCTCGTTCCGCCGGGGCACCCGCGACCCGCATAAGTCCCGCCTGAAGCTGCATATCAACAAGTATTGCCTTCACAGACGTTGCGCGCAAAAATGAAAATGTAAAACCAGACAGCCCCGGCGCAACAATAATCTTTGTCCACAGCATGGGCTCAACCAAAGAATCCTACGAGCCCTTCTTCGCCGACCTCCTCTCAAACCCACTCACGCCGCCAATCCACGCAATCTGGGCTCCCGACATCGCCAACCATGGGCAATCCTTCCAGGTCAAGGAGGACGAGATAGGAGATGAACATCACTGGTTTGACAGGGCGCACGACATCATGTAGCTCATCAACTATTTCCAAACTTCAATGACACTGCCGCTGATTGGCATAGGACAAAGCTGGGGCTGCGTGCACCTCCTGCTTCCCGCAGCTTGGCACCCGCGCATTTTCCACGGCATCGTGCTCATGGAACACGTGCTGGAGACGGGATATCACTTGAAGAGCTGAAAGCGCTAGGTGTTCCCGAGCAAGGGCTAGTGCGGAGTACGAACATAGGGTTCTCCGTAGCTCTGATGCGCGACCGGTGGGAGAGCCGCGAAGCAGCGGAGAGGCACATGCGCAGGTCGAAATACTATTCGCAGTTCGACCCGCGCGTGCTAGCTCAGACGCTGCGGTATGAATTCCGCGATATGCCCGATGGAAGCGTGAAGCTTGCGACACCTAGATATCAGCAGGCGCAGCTGTTCATGCGCGCTGCGCCGCCAATGAAAGGTTATCCCGTCAGGGAAGACTATGCGACGAGGGCCCAGGAGAGTCTTATCGCACCGGACTTCTATAGGGGTGAGCCGGCGAAGATAAAGGAATACCTGCCGGGGATTCATTGTAAAATATTGTATGTGTGGACAGCAGAGGACAAAAGTATGCTAAGCACAGAGTCCTATCGAAGCCGGGTTGTTGGCAAGACAGGCACGGGTCTTGGTGGGGCCGGAGGCGAAGGGACAGGCCAGGTTAAAGAGGTGTTTGTGGCGGCGGAGGCGCACGCTCTGCCGTTTCTTGAACCTAGGGGGACGGCTGGAGTAGTTGCAACGTGGCTGGGCGAAGAGCTCAAGCCGTCGTGAGAGACAGAAGAAGATCAGAGGAGACAGGAACTGGTTATTGATGCTGTCACGGTATCCCCTGAGTGTGTTGAGAGGATTTCAAAGTTGTGAATTTTGACTTTTCTATTTGAGCGTTCCTCTTTATAGTTCCCTACGTACGATGCTATACCGTCTTGAGATAGTGTGGATTCGCTGATTGTTGGTGAGCCACTTGTTGATAGCGGACGTTAAATGGTGGATTGTGCCGTAATATGTCTCATGTATGTTCTCCGTACCACGTCAATTCCATTATCATAAACAGTACAAACACGGCCGTCTAAGTCCGCATCTTGGAGCTTTAGACCAATAGTCCACACCTAGAGGAAACCTACTAACCCTATCCAGATACATGACAGACTCAGTATGCAAACATTTTCCTTTCCTCTCCGCTCTCCTCCTTGGTGTCCTTCCATGTCATCGATGCGCTTTCACATTTAGAGCCCTCCACTCTTAGCCTCTCCTTCGCAAGCTCCTTCTCTGCCGGTGAGAGCCAAGAGGCTGGTTTCTGGGTAGTCAGGAAGGAAGAAGTACACCAAAATCGCAGATGCGCATGAAGGGATGCCTTCGAGGATGAAGAGCCATCGCCAGCCGGATAAGCCCCGAGTTCCATTCATATGTCCAACAGCGAAGGCGATGGCACTACCAAAAGCACCCACAAGGGTAGCAAAAGCTAGAATCATAGCAACTCGCATCGACCGTTCGGAAGTTCTATACCAGAAAGTGAGATAAAACACAAGCTTGGGAACAGGCCGGCTTCAAAGATGCCTAGAAGCAGACGCAGCACTGTGACAGTGGCGTAGTTATTAAAGTAATCCATCTCTACGCAGCCGAAACGTGGTCTTTAAGTTAGTGGAAAACTGGACGAGAGGGATGGGGAAGTGGTTGTCGCCTCACACTAGGTTTAACGTCTTGAAAAAATAGTTCGATGGTACTTCGAAGAGGGCATATGCATGAGGGAAATCATCAGGGCAATCCTATTTTTCCGTAAGGGCAGAATGCTCAAGGTATATAGAGGAATGCACCAATTTGTGGTCCTCATGTGTATTCATAATTCGACATATTGGTTTCAGTCAGGAGGTCGTTCCCTGTTGACGAACACTTTTGCATTTCCTAGTGGGAGTGTTAATCTCAACATATTTTTCATATAGTTATTCCAATTGTCCGAGGGCAGGGATTCACCTATATTCGTATTCGAACTATCCAAGTAACATAGAAGGTAGATGGCAGCCGAAAGCGGCACAATTCTCAGGTCCTGCTTCCAGACAAGCGTTCTGTCACTGATGCTGCCTTCCTCCAAATACGTATCCACGGCATGCTGATTTGATACTTTCTCCTATTCCTGCATTAGTTTTGGGGTAATTCAGAATGTTGGAGGAGACAAAACCTGGCATACAGGAACTGCCTATTTGACGTCTTCAATTGACTTTTCGATCATCTCAACAGGGTCTCTTGGCAGAAAAGCCTCTCCCACCGTAGGTCATGTTTGTCGGAAGCTCGTTCGTATGCGCGTCCCTAACGGTTGAGTTTGAATGGAAAGCGATTGTCGCGTTTTGCTGAGAGGGTGAAAGGGATTTTGGATGCGATCCAGGATCACAGGTTGCGAAGATCTCCCGGGGAGCGTGGAGATTTCAGCTGACGGCAGAAATCCCGAATTTCAGCCGCCGTCGCACTTTTGTTGACGACCTCGAAAGATGTGGGGAAAAAATGAGGATGTCGTAGCCGCTGTTGCGATAGTGCCATGTTCTTCCCCATAAAATGGGGTATATGCGGGTTTGAGGCTCCAATCGAGGCCCCTGATTCTTTCACCACCTGCATCGCAGCTCCGTCCGCGGTGTGGAAAGCGGAGAACTCCTTCGCCGGCATCGCCTCGCCCTAGCCGGCGACATAGCAGAGGATCGAGAGATAAGACCCTCGTACATGGGGTTAAGAAATCAGTATTAAGACCCTGGCCATGTAGGAGCGTTGTTAGCCAACCGCTTCTCCCGATTATTAACAAATATACACGCACTCTGTATTCCTCTTGCTGGAGACGAGCAGCGCCGAGCTTGCCAAACCTGAGTGGAGCCTATTGGGAACAATGGGAAGTCGAAGTCGAAGTGCTCCAGCCCAGTAGCCCAGATGTAGTTCAACACCTCATTCGGCCACTGGGGCAAGAGGAGATGTTGATAGGGTATGTATCTTGTTGTAACTACATGATCTATAGTTAGTAGTTAGTTACTTGGCTTAGTCACCCTTCTTTTGACATCACAGGAACTAGCTGGGCGGAAGTAAATATGGAAACATGTTGAAAACTGGAAAACAGCTTTTTGCTATCTTTCAAAAGTCACTTTGTCTTCAATAAATTCCATGTCGCTAGTCAATGGCCCCGTGAGCCATTTACGTACTTATATCCGTTGCCTACAACCGACTCCCTTCTTCCGCAATCGATCTCTAGGAACCACTCACTCAGGCCCGCGCATCGCATCAGTAACCCACAGCGCTGCCGCAATGTCGGCAACGACAATAATACCAGGGGCAAAAAAGCCGATGCCTTCAGCGCTAACCTTTAATCTCGCAGCGAAATGTTCCGTACGTCTCGTCCCACCCCAGAAGCTCAAAAAAATACAAGCAACTTAACTAACCCCTGCGCTTTCGTCGTTTGTTCAGACCACAAAAGCCCGCGCTAGCACCCTCCACCTCCCCCATGGCCCTGTTCAGCTCCCAATATTCATGCCCGTGGCTACGCAAGCTTCGTTGAAGGGTTTGACACCGGATCAGCTCGCTCAGACCGGATGTAAGCTGTGTCTGAATAATACCTACCATTTGGGTTTGAAGCCTGGACAGACCGTGTTAGATGAAGTCGGGGGAGCGCATGCGTTCCAAGGGTGGAATGGGAATATTTTAACAGATAGTGGCGGGTGAGTTTTGGATATTTTCTTTTCATGCGATTGGTCGAGATGGGTCGCTTTGAAGAGGTTCAAGTGCTTCGTGTGGGGGAAAGCTAAGCGTGAAGAAACTGAGAAGTAAATGGGGGCGAAGGAGAGGAGGGCAGGATGGAAGATTAGGAGAGAAGGGGATCATAAGATGCTGGATATTGTGGCTAACATTATGTGTTCATTCGTGAGTGATAGGTTTCAGATGGTTTCGCTGCTGAAGCTGGCGCAGGTTACAGAGGACGGAGTACGGTTTTTGAGTCCGCACGATGGTACCCCTATGTAAGTCACCATCCACATGAAACTTTTTTCTCCTTTATTTGGCGTTATAATCATTTATTATTAAACTTAATGCGGCAACCAATGAACTAATGCATGTCCTGTAGGCTTCTTACTCCAGAACACTCGATTTCGTTGCAAAATTCTATCGGTTCAGACATAATTATGCAGCTCGATGATGTGATAGCCACCACATCCCCCGATCACGCGAGAATAAAGGAGGCAATGGAGCGGTCCGTGCGCTGGCTCGATCGATGTATTCATGCACATAAATATCCTGAGAGACAAAATCTATTCTGCATTATCCAGGGCGGACTGGATCTGGAGCTGCGAAAAGAATGTTGCAAGCAAATGGTTGAGAGAGATACCCCAGGGATTGCTATTGGCGGGCTTTCTGGTGGCGAGGCGAAGGATGAATTTTGCAAAGTGTGAGTCCTGCGCCTAGGGAGGCTATCTATCTGGGATATTGGGAATGGCTGCTAATCTTTATAATTTGCTAGAGTAAATACTTGTACTGGCCTACTACCCGAGAAAAAGCCACGATATGTCATGGGTGTAGTATGTCACTTTCGGTCTCATGAATGAGTGAATGAAAAACTGACAGTTTTGCAGGGATATCCAGAAGATCTCGTTGTTGCCGTTGCCCTCGGAGCGGATATGTTTGACTGCGTGTGGCCGACGAGAACAGCTGTTAGTTTCTACCCAACCTCACCAGAACGACTCTCTGGCCAAAAGAAAGAAAAAAAATACTGACCCGCGAAACAGCGTTTCGGAAATGCAGTTACTTCGTTTGGCACCTTGAACCTCCGAAATGCGTCATATGCAAACGACTTCCGGCCGATTGAAGAGGGCTGTCAATGCGCGTGTTGTCGATCCAAGGCAGACGGGGGGCTTGAGATTACGAGAGCCTACATCCATCATCTCGCCGCCAAAGAAACGGTTGGGGCGCATTTGTAAGTGCTCCATAACAAATGGCATTTCTGCTAGCAAGAACGCTATTGGGGTCAAGCGAACTAACCTATATCCTGCAGACTTACAATGCACAATGTTCACTACATGCTTGCAATGATGGGTTCCCTTAGAGAGTCGATTATTCAAGATAGATTCCCCGACTTCCTTCGCGAATTTTTCAAAAATATGTACGGCGACCACTCGAAGATACCCCAATGGGCGATTACAGCTCTACAAGGAGTTGGCGTAGATTTGCTGGTTGATTAGAATTGGTTCATTTGGATTCAGAGTTAATAGCACTATCATGATGGGTGGGTGCATTGGGACGGCGTTTTAGAAGACTCCCTTACTAGTACTGTACATAGCTCCGCGATTTGATCTAATACTACCTAACTAGCAATTATCTGTATAATTTTAACCGCATTGAATGCGGTGCGTGAATGGAAACAATTCAGAAAGAAAAGACATCACGTGGTTTTCGCGACGCGTCCACTGATCCAAGCCCCAAAACCCTTTGCACGCGACGGGATTGAGATTCATTCAACCAAACGGCTGTAATGTTATATCAAAAGGATTGACATACCACAGCCGGTATATACCTCGATGCCAGATAAAGGGCAACTGTAGCCACAACATAGTTAATCATGGCTCGGTCTGACACGCAAACAGTTCCCATCACCCCCTCAGAAACACCAAAACCTAACGACACATTAAACCCGCCAACACCAGCAGAGCCAACATCGTCACCCGTCCCCTCACCCCTCCACAATCCCTCCCACGAGGAACATCAGTACCTCAACCTAATCCGCTCAATCCTCGAAGCAGGCGAATACCGCCCTGACCGCACCGGTACGGGTACCCGCTCCCTCTTCGCGCCCCCGCAACTCCGCTTCTCCCTTTCAAAACCCAACACCTCCAACTCGGCCTCCACCTCTTCCCGCACCCCCATCCTCCCTCTCCTAACCACCAAGCGCGTCTTCCTCCGTGCCGTCCTCGCCGAACTCCTCTGGTTTATATCAGGATGCACGTCCTCCCTCCCTCTTAGCGAAGCTGGCATAAAGATTTGGGATGGTAACGGGAGCCGTGAATATCTCGACTCAGTTGGTCTATCCCATCGTCCTGTTGGCGACCTAGGCCCCGTGTACGGGTTTCAATGGCGGCATTTTGGCGCGGAATACATCGATGCCCAGACTGACTACGCAGGGCAAGGCGTGGATCAGATTGCAGAGGTGGTGCGGAAGCTAAAGGACAACCCGTACGATAGACGGATTATCCTGAGCGCATGGAACCCGGCGGATTTGAAGAAGATGGCGCTGCCACCTTGTCACATGTTTGCGCAGTTTTATGTCTCGTTCCCTCCTGGGGATCATGGTCATGATGGGAGGGGGGAGAAGAGGAAAGGAACGTTATCCTGTCAGCTCTACCAGCGTTCATGCGACATGGGACTTGGGGTGCCGTTTAATATCGCCTCGTACGCATTACTGACGCATATGCTGGCGCATGCGGCGGATTTACATCCCGGCACGCTAATACATACCATGGGCGATGCGCATGTGTATTTGGATCATATCGAGGCGTTACAGGAGCAGTTGACGCGGGAGCCGGTGGAATTTCCTGAACTGATAATTAAACGCGATGACCGAGGCTCGGGGGTTATGGATGGTTGGAAGGAAGAGGAGTTTGAGGTTGTGGGATATAAGCCGCACAAGGGGATTAAGATGAAAATGAGCGTGTAGCGGGTTTGTTTTGGGATGCTATGAAACTGCTTCTGGGCTATGAGAACATGGCGAAATTTTTAATGAACTCCGGTATTCTGCGAGTTTAATAGACAGCTGGTATCTGGTTATCATTTTGGCAGTAAATGGATCGATGCACTGCTAAGAAGCGGCAGAGAACCGCTGCTTGGAGTTCAGGTTAACGGGTATATGAATATTCATATATTCTGAGTGCTCTTGAGATTAGAAGACAACAAGTATGTTAAGAATATGCTCTCTTTCCAATGACAATGACAAGCCTGTAATATATGCAAAATGAACGCCTTCTGCTATCGCAACATGGGGTAATCGTAATAATCAAACCGGGACACACAATGCACCCCGGAAACTAGGATAAAAGCAAAAATAGCACCATATCCACGGTCTAAGGTGAGAGAAAGAAAAACAATAAAGCCACCACGATCTGTCTACCATCACCGTTCTACAGTAAGCTCAGGTGGAGGGCCAACGCCCCGGAGTAGCACAATGGTATCCCCTTGCGCAACACCAGCAGAGGCACCAAGTTTCTCCGAGAACTCTAACAACTTCCCCCCTTCGACATGGAAGACGCGCAGCCTCTCTGCCTCGTCAGCAACTCTATTATTGATGTTCTGCACCTGTAACCTGCGCGCCGCATCGTCCAAAACCTTGCCCACACTCCAAGAGGAATCAAAGTAAAAATCACCTGTAGGATACTTTGCCGTTGTGGTATCCGCGGACGCTTCAACATGCAAGTAAAACCGCTTCTGTAGCGCAAGGTTGGGTTCTCCCTTTGCCTTCTTTTTCAACTCTGTAAGCCTTGCCATGCGCGCCGCAGCGCTGTTGGGTTTCGGCTTGGGAGCCAGATTCGCGGCGACGTTGGAGGATTTATCTTTCCCCCACGTCCGTAGGCGGGAGAATGCCAGCCGCGCCTTTTCAGCCGGTGACGGATCTTGCCTGGCAGGCCGCGCGCCGATCGGAATGAGCTTGGCACAGTCATGGTCTTCGCGCAGGCGATGTTTGAGACAGTACTGGCGGTTACATTCGTTGCAGTGGACGCCGGTATTTTGCAAAGTATGGATTAGAGTTTTGCAGGATGAGTGTGAGCACTGCGTGGAGTTGTAAACGGTAGGTTTAACCGGCGGAAGAGAGGACATCATGCTGCCGTTTCCAGTGCCTATAGCACCGACGGAGTTTTTCCGCCGGGCAGCTGCCCATTCGCCTGCATGTGTGCATTTGTGTGTCGTTTCCGTCCGGTGGTCGAGGCAGAATGTGCCCTTGCAGGACTCGCAGCGGAAGGGGAGGAAATCGAGCTGGTTGCAGAATTCGAACTGGCAGTGTCTGCCTATGGATTCAAGATCGTGATCGGGGTCCATTTGCGTGAACGAAGAATCCTCTTGTTGCTGGGCCCGGGTGCCTGTAGAGAATGATATGGGAGCCATAATGAGTGTTGAGGGAAAACAAGGTTGGTGTTCTCTCTTATAAGCAGTATGTCGTCCTTGGAAACGGATAGTTAAGCTTGGAGGTATGAGTAAAAAGATGGTCAGCTGGAAGGCTCTATTACTAACCAGATATGCTCCGACCCTTATTAGGTTAAAGTGGCTGCATACAACAGGCGGCAGAGCAGTGCGTCATCAAAATGTGCGTTGAATGATAGGAGCCGGAGAACAGAAAGGCATCTGCATCTACCAAAGCGGAGGAGCAAGCGGAGAAAGCACCGGAATGTTCTAGCCAAGGGCGGGGGTCTTGGCGATGATTATATAACATGACGTGATTTAGCTTTGTGACTCGGCGGCAGGGGGGAAGTTTATTTCAAAGAGGAAGTAGCTTAATTCAACCTAGAACCAGATTACGCAGTAGATTGCTAGCTGTATATCTAGAGGCTATACAGAGAGGGTTCTGAGTGACATTTAAAACTCATGTTACTATAAATATTAATCAAGTTCTCTGAGATGTGTGTCTGAATATCTGTAGTGAAGAGAATATAATCATGTCTAATTTCTCTAAAATGGAGAGTGTACACTCTCTTATATATAAATAATATAAGCTTATTATAATTATAGAACGGGCAATTGCAAGCTGCAATAAAGAAGTAGCAATCACAGAGCTATCATAAAAAAAATAGTAAAGTTCTAAATATAAGTAGAAAATGAAAGAAATGAAACAGAAAATGAAGTGAAAAATTAAGAGATAATAATAAGAGAAAGCTTTTCTAATTAATTATTTTCACCCAGGTTTCTTTTCTTTATTGCAACAAAGAAGAACAAATAAACTTAAAGCGTATGAAATTGCATTCACACGCTTCGTATTCATCAGGAATTTTACTGAAGACGGCTCTTTACATTTATCTATTACTTTGTAATATTTAGTTATCAGATGTTACTCGAAAAGTTTCGGGACCGAATTTGTCCACTCCTAGCAGCGTTCCCGCGATGAAACTATCCCACTGGGTTCTACTCGTTTCGTTATTCCTACGCGTAAATTAGTGGCGACTTAATAAAGAACTTGTGATCCAATCTCAAAACGGATGCCTAGAAGGCGTACCTAGGTACTTCTAACTAACCTTATATATAATATCTATGACTCTTCAGTTGGCACCGGAGCCAGCCCTGGTGCTTCGCGGTTGATGCGAAGATGTCAAACTTTGTGTGATTGAGTTCCGTGATCGGCTCGACAATTGTTGATCGGCCCCTGCGCTGAGATCATGCCTGGATTCCCTTTGTTTTCCCAATTTGCTGGTCGCGCTGCGGGTTCCACTGGGTCCTCTCCCATCGTCCTCTCCCATCGCCTGCGATCAAAGCCTCCACCGTCACCGTCATCAGGAGCATCAGCATATTGGTAGCTATATTCGAGATGCCTACGGTTTCCGACGTCAAATGGGGCTGCTGCACCGATTGCAGTGTTTGTTACCGTTCTATCGCTTCGAGTCTGAAACAGTGAGGCATTGTCGATTGAGTCTCGTTGGCGTTTGGTGCGGTGGCCACGCGAGCTGGTAGATGATAGATGCCGCTTTGGCATCGGTGTTTGCATGCTGCCAGCTGGTATTTGCCTTAGGCTGTCCGCGGATGCTGAGACCCTGCTTGTCTGCGCAGAAAGACTGCGATTATTTGTTGGAGTGATCAAGCCGGAGGTCCCTCCACTATGTTTTATGCTAAAATCGATTGTCGGCTCTCCCTCAAAGCAGTCCTCCGCAGTAGGCCGGTTGTTTGGGTCAATCTCCAACATTCTGGACAACATAAAATAGAATGGGCTGTCCGAATGGGAACGCAGTGCGCTTTTGGCTGCGTCAGCGACACGCTAAGTGTCATAGCCAGAGTTAACTTCGGTGGCACCATAGGTGAACTCAAGGGCGACGACCCCAAGAGCCCATATATCAACTCTGCTGTCATAGTTTATGGGCTGGGAATGAAAGAATTCAGGTGCCCTATAATCTAGCGTCCCGACATTCGTTCTAAGACTACCAAATTTCGAAAGCCCAAAGTCAGCTAATTTAATAATGAAGGGGCCGTTTCTGCTATAGACGAGGATATTTTCCGGCTTGATATCCCGATGCGTGATGTCTCTGGAATGCATGAAACGAAGAGCGTCGAGCCCTTGGGCAAGAACGAGTTGGATTTCTGTTGTACTAATCGGGATAACACTGTGTTGAAAGCGAAGGCTTCCCAGGGGCATATATTCCATAACAATCTGCAACGGATCAGCGGGATAGCACACAAACTCAACGACATGCTTCTATACGACAGTTAACCTTGAAGCCAGTAGCATGGAACAGGATGACATACATGCATAAGATATTTCATGATTTTCATTTCGTTTAAGAACTCTACCAGTTCGGTCTGGTGCTGTTTGAACGCAGGCGATTCTGTCGGCTTTTTCTTCATTTGTTCTATATCCGCAGAATGCAAAAGAAATCTCTTGGAAGCATAATCCCGGCCTGTGCTCACATCTAGAACCTTGTAAACCTTTCCGAATGACCCGTGTCCAATTGTTTCGGCGGGAAAGTAGATCGGATCATTAATTGGGCTACGTGGACGAGTTGGATCTTGGCTAGGCATATTCAGTCCACCGAGGCTGAGAACAGAGTCTTGACTCGCTTTCACGTAGGCATCAACGTTCGCTTTGTACTGGCTTTGACAGGAAGCATGACTGGGTAGGGTGATGTCCAACCGGAAACCACGGAGATGGACACTAATGCTCATTCTCTTGTCGTTGAGATCTAGAATCCATGTGAAATGCCTCCGTGGGTACTGCTCTCCCCAGCCGTCATAGCTGACGGCAGTTTCCCTCGACGATACGTCCCTCAGCACGAGATGGCCGGTATTCTCCAATGTAATAACGAAATGTACCCCGCTTATATTGGGGACGCTTGTTTTTGCAAGCAAAACATCACAGCGTCTCTTGCTGGTCCCGAAGGTGAATCCGCGGGTGACATTTGCAGGCGGCTTGTCGAAGGTTAATAGAAGGCTTCCCTCACGCGGAGGCTTGTTATTATTGTTCCCTTGGTCGCCTTCATCAGAGTTTGAGTTGGGGCTAGAGCTCCTGCTTCGCGGATCTGGTGGAGGCTTGTGGAAGCCATCTGGTAGATCACTATAGCGGGTACGATTGTGGGGTAGTTTGAGACCTTTAGCTGCATCACCCAGCACCCCTCTGATGACCAAGATGAGGTTCGGATCATCGTCCATTTTTTAGTGGCAGGGATCTTACTAATAACAACTATGATGTTATGGTCAATGCGGGTAAGACTCTCCATATGACGAGAATTTTTGAAATCAGGCGAACACTATAGAAGAGAGGAAAAAAAAAAAAAAAGGAACCGCCGCTTATATATATTGCAGAATGAATGCTGGACAGCAAACACAGTGCAACGGCTGGGGAAAACGGGGGAGGGGGGTTTTGGGCTGCGACAACCACAAGCAACACTGCGTGACGCATCGTGTTGGGCAAACAGAGGAACACGCAGCAGGTGGTTATCGTCCCCCTCATACTGCAATGTGGTTCCTCCGGTTCCAAGTGGTCGATGTGTTCTCCGGAGGCCTATTTTATTGGATTACCGTCCTAGCGCTCGATCACGAGTGCGCCGCAAACCCTTGATCCCTTTCTCCCGGGCTGGCGTGGTAGCTCATAATTCGCAGAAGCCTGGCGTCTAATGCCTGGATCAAAGGCATAGTAACCCTTGTCTGCTCAATCCTGTGTGTTCTGATCCAAGGGCTCAAAGGCAAGGAGTAAATAAATGCGCGATTGTTCGTGGAGGCCAAAATGGCTTATTAACTATTTTGAAAAGCGGGATTATTAAGGTTTTAAGCTTGGTTCTTAAAATAGACTTCGGTGTATTTGTTTATTCTCTACGGAGTACAATACAATACTATAACCGTGCCATGCTTACTCACTCTCTGTAGTGAGTGCGCCACAGTGTACAGAAAACCACACTGTAAAGAAAATATTTTGAATATAGTAATCTTCAAAAATTAATTAATAATCATCACTACATCTATCTATAACATAAAGATTATCTATATACTCATTAGAAGGTGTAGAATCCACTGTAAGTTGAGATTCTATAGAATTATCTTATTATGATTGAGTGACTGTAGATTTTATAGATTTGATTTCAATTGATTGAAGAGTCTTATTAAATGTCTTTTTCATCTTATCTACTCTACAGATCACAATCTTGCAATTGATATTCTTAATAGTGAGAACTTCATCTACTTGCACCTGTCTGTGAGAGGATTTGACAATCTGATATCTATTTATTTAATAATGATCTGCAAGTTCATTCTCATGATTGTCACACTCCCGGCAGCGCCAAGGCCCCGCTGCGGTTCCACACGGCCCATCGCTTCCATGCGGATGATTTCATCCTGTCTGAACCGGTTTCCAACCACTCTATGACATCATTCGAATATATCATAGGAAGATCCGATTGATGGATAAGAGAACCCCGCTTCTATACAAGGTCAGCAGATTACTCTTTCTTGACAATGAGGCACTGCTGAGGTATCACTCTGACTATTCTCACTTATGAAATAAGAGAAGAGTATCTGCTCATTGTCTATATAGAATAGCTAGATGCTAACTCTCTATTAAAGAAGTCAGTAATTCATTTCATTTCTTTTCTTCTACTGAAATATATACAGAAGTTACTGCATGCCTTATACAATCTTCTTAGTATACTAAGTATCATATCTGTGATATTCTTGTAATAACTCTGTAATCTACAAGCTTACTATTCAAGTAAGATAGTCAAGCTCACTTATACAGCTTCTTAAATAACTATCTCTATATAACACTGCTGACTAATCACTGCTTTGATTCTATTATATTACAATTTGAATCACTTAATCTGATTATATATTTGAATCAGTTAAGCTTTAACAGACTGATATAATCTTATATATCTGTACTGAGACTGATCTGATCTCATTCTCTGAGAAAAACACTACATTATTCTCTAGAGTGTGTACATCTCTACTCTGACAGAAATCTGAGATTTCTGAATCTGCTGTATATTTTGATATAAGCTCTTTAACTGCTCTGTCACTGCTGCAGCCTCTATACACTTATATTTATTATGAAGATAGAGAGATTAAGATTGAAGATTTTTTAAAATATAAGAGAAATATCTTGTCTGAATTTCACAGCTTTATCTGTATTCTTGAACAGAAATTTCATCTTAATCTGAGTCAGTATAATACTTATAAGATATAAGTAATCTATACTATCAATCTTCTTGAAGATATCTCTGCAACTACTTGAGTCATTAAGAAGAGAGAGCTTGAGTATATTAATACTATTATAACTTAAGAAGAATTCAAGAACTTTCTACTGAATTAAATCAAAGATTACTGTAACTGCAGCTTCACAGCAGTACAGCAGTTTAATATATTATATTAATAAGATAATGAGAATTCTTTTAATTTCAATATAAGATTTAAAGAATATTGAGAGAAATTAACTGATGATTTAAATTAATTAAAAACACAGCTTTATCTTACAAAGCTGACTTATAAAATATAAATAATAATATCACAGTATCAGAGTTTATTAATTAATTATACTGAGCTTATTAATCTGACTTTCTGAATCTATTTAAATAATCAATTCTTTAAGAAAAAGATTAATAAGATCTCTTCTAAGTAACTTATAATAAGATCTAAATAATACTGTGATAGTTTCAGTGTAAAGAAAGTAAAGAAGAATTTCAAGTATTCTGATTCTTCACTCACTATAAAGAAATATTAAAAAAGATTTAATAAAGATCTCTATTTTAACTGCAGAGCTGATAATCACTATATCAGTAATTATAAGAAGCTGAAAAAGAGAAGAAATTAAGAAGATATTTTCTCAAAGTTCACTTCTCTTCTGATAAATATATTTATAGAAGATAAAGAAGAGAAAGAAATGAAGAATTAATAATTCTTATATCTCTGAGTTCATATTATAATTATAATACATACTCTGAATGAGAAGATATCAGTGAGATATCTACTTAACTTCAGAGTGAATATTAACTTCATATTCTATTTCTTTTCTTTGATAAAGAGTTGAAAGAAGATAGACTTATTAGATTATATGAAATTTACTGATAAAATAAAATATCATTATTTTAGCATAATTTAAGCACAGTGTGTGATCACAGACTCAGAAGAAACTTTTAAGAAGAGTAATCTGCTTCTTCATACAGTTAATATTATAGATAAGAATGTTATTTTAAATCTTCTATAATTAAGAGAAAATAATTCTCTTATTAACTGAGTCACTCAGATGTGATAATATTATCTTACTAATAAAGAGATAGTGATAGAGAAATCTGAAGAGTTTTATCAGAAGAATCTTGAGAAAAAGATTGAGTCAATATACTGTGTAACAGATGACTAAGACTTGAAAATAAATGAAGAAGTTATCACTCTTGCTGTAAGATTAGCAGTAGTATTTATTATTAAAGACAGATATATACAATGTTTCTTTACAGATTTTAAGAATATCTTTTTGAAAAGAGAAGCAGTGAAGTTTTCTGATATCAAGATATAATATAAGATTTATCTTGAAGATAGTGCAATGATACTGTACAGATCTCTTTATAACTTATTTATAAAGAAATTGAATATTCTGTACAAATATCTTGAAGAAGTACAATCAAAGAACTGAATATATTTATCAAAGAGTTCAGCAGAGATGTCTATACTCTTTATACTTAAGAAGAATAATAGACTATGTCTATGCATAGACTACAGAGATCTCAATAAGATAACAGTTAAGAATTACTATTTATTACTATTAATTGATGAGATGATTAATCAATTATCTGAAGTAAAGATATTCTCAAAGATTAATATACAGAATGTCTATTATAGAATCAGAGTTAATAAAGATAATATTTAAAAAATAGCTTTTTATACTAAGTATAGTAATTTTAAATATCTTGTTTTATCTTTTAATCTTTATAATGCTTCAGCCATCATTCAGACCTATATAAATGAGATACTGTGAGGCCTTGTTAATATCTTCTATATAGTATACTTAAATGACATTCTAATCTTCTTAAAAACAGAGAAAGAATATGATATTCATATTTAAGAAGTATTGAGTTGCTTGAGACAGTATTAACTCTATATAAACACTGAAAAATGCTTGTTCTACATGCAGAAGATTGATTTCTTAGATTATATTATTAAAGTGAATGATATTTCAATGAATAGAAGTCAGGTCTTTATCATTGAAAACTGACTGATACTGCAGACATACTGTAAGATATAGATATTTCTAGAATTTATAAATTTCTACAGATAATTTATCTATACATATTCACAGATTACTACTCTTCTTACAGATCTATTAAAGAAAAGTATGAAAGATAGAAAAATAGAACTATTTATTCTTACTCAAGACATTATACAGGCATTTGCAGAATTGAAACAAGCTTTTATAGATATTATAATACTGAATCACTTTAATCTTAACTTACTCAGTCAGTGTGAGACTGATGTATCTGAGAATGAGATCTGTGAAATCTTTTCACAGTTAACACTGAAGATCTTTCAATATTGAAAGAATCAGAAAATAATTATTTCTAAGAAAATAGATAATAAATTGTCTGTAAGAGAAGACTTTTTTACAGAGTCTATAAGATACTGTGAATAGAGATTAGTAATCTTCTTCTTCAAGAAGTTATCACTCATGTAGAGAAGATATAATACTTATAATTAGAAGATATTAGCAATTGTTGAATTCTTTAAGATCTGATAATATTATCTTCAGAGTAGTAAGTACTCAGTGTAAGTTCTTACTGATTATACAAATCTGTGTTACTTCTTGATAATAAAGAGCTTGACAGAATATCAAGTCAGATGAGTAAAGCTGCTTTCAGAGTATGATTTCTATATCTGATATTATTCAGATCAGCTTAATCTTATTAACACACTATTTAGATAATCTGATTATAATATTATTAATATAAAGAAGAATTCTATAAAAGAATCTCTATCATTACTGCAGAAGAAGCTGACTGCAGAGAGTTGAGATTCTCTGAAGCTTGAAAACAGTGTCAGTAAGACAGCTGCATGACTCAGTATAGAAGATGAAAGAAAACTCAGATTCTCACAGAGAACTGACACTGAAGATTATGAGCTTCTCATATTATATCTTACAATTATTGAATTGATAAAGAACAAAACAGTCTACA